CCCCCCCCCCAGTATCCTTTAAGACTGGAACGTATTCCTCAAAATAATCTTGTAATTATTATTCCTGACCTTTACCATGATCATGTGATCAACACTTTTTCATGATTTGGAGGGGGGTGGAGGTGTGTGTTTCTTAGGTGTTATGCGCCAAGAACCAACTCCGAGCGTTTCTTGGCTTCAAAGAGTTGTATGCAGAAGGTTCATTTTATCATTGATGGAATTTCAGCGTAGGTGAGGTAAACTGCTGTTACAGGGTGTCCAGAGAGAAGGTTGTGGGTGGCGGCTTCTCCGGCACAAGCTAGTTAATACGTATTTTGATACAGCAACAAAGCTTAAAAGATACAATTCATTCTTCTTCATTGAGGGGTAGACATAATACATATTAGCTTCCGAACAGTGTTGGTGGAAGCATTAGTGTATTGGGAATTTCTCGACCGTTTCAATAATTATTAACATTTTAATGGAGACCTGCATCAAGGAGAATTTACATACATACGAATAAAATATATAATTTAATCTAATTTTGTACTTTGTTACGCCTCAAGTTTCTATTTACTTTCAGTTATTTGAGTATGAAGACTCTTTTGTCATTGGAAAATATTTAACTCTGAGTAACTCTGATACTGTAGCGACCCGTAGCACGATGAACTTTGAATGCAGCAGAAGGAACAATTTGTGCTTCTTATTCAGGAGGTCCATGGTTAATATCTGGACCGAAGTCCTGACTGAGATTTCTCCTGATGTTCGCACTTCCTTCCAAGCTAATGCGCAGAGTGTGTCCTCTGGGATGTTGCGGTGCGTAGCCTCGTAAAAAACTAGCGGAAGTTTCACAGGTGATTGACCTCTAAATTTTCTATGCCGTTTGATAGTTAAGCGAGGCAGTTATCAGCCAATTACAGTAGAACCACAGACTGTGACAAGGGCTAATCTTTTACGTAAAAGCGCATTCTTCTTTCGGAGACACATCTTCGAGAGTGAAATAAGCCTTGTTAACGTCTCACGATCACAGGCACAATTCACGTGTTGCTGTGCACGGGGCTGTTAATGTACTGGACTGGAAAGCTGCCAGTGCCGTAATCTTGAATGTAAGGCGCGGAGGAGGAGAAATTTAAAACGCTTAGTGCGTTTTCCCATTCCTCCGTGGCCAGTGCACGGGATTTGAGGTTTTTACGGCGATGTAAGTAGGCCTGTAGATGACTGTTCCCTGGGTTGTTGCGACGACGTGTGGCGTTTTGGCTGTGTGCCATCATTTCGGTCGAACATACTGCCTGATGACGAAGGCAGCGTGTTCCAACCCGGAAGACCATTATCATTTATAAGTTTTATCGCGTTTTGCATAAGAAGAGATGCAGTTTTGTATTCGTCTGTGTTGACTATTTAGTGTATATGCGAAAAGGATACACACCCTTTCACCTTTAATGTTTCTGTGTTGTTAAGTCTATTCATTTTAATGTCTGTTATTAAGACATTCTGGAAAGAATATGTTACCTGCCTACAGATGCAGGTCTACTAGAAACTGATAATAATAATGTCACAATTTAATTCTCCATTTCTGTTCACATAATCTATACTAATACAGATGATGACTGCTGTTGATTTGCGGGTATCACCTTTGAGCTTCGAATCGTCTCATACAGAATTTGTATGTAAATTTGTGGATGTCGTGTCGTTTAAATAATACATTTTGAAATTTAGCTCCTGCTTCAAAGAGAACACACTACTCCATTACATGGTCGCTTAGGATCACACGAAACCCATAAATACACTTTCTGGGTAAATGCAGAATTGTTGTCAAAGTAGGTTGTACATGTGGTTATTACTGGACTATTGATTGTTTAAAAGATTGTTTTGTTCAATCTATGTAGACGATTCTGCGATGTAAAACAGAGATTTTGTCTAATTACTGAAGTAGCAACCGGTTGAGTGTTGGCTGTCTGTGTGGGTTCAGCACCTTTGGGTACGTAAACACGGAGGCCAACAGCTGTCCCTTTTCCTGTTTGAGACAGCTTTGCCAAGCCTTGAAAATCAACTCAATTACTGCAAGAACTCCACCTCATTACGCATACGGCGTCACTCGTTCCAGTGGTGATGTTGCTCTTTTGACTGTCCGTCTCTTAAAATATTGGTTGTGGTGTCTGGATTGAGCAAGGATCGATGCTATTTACCACTTTTGTGTTAGACTAGAAAGGTCAGATGGATAATTGTCAAGAAAATAAAAATGAAAGATTTGTAAATTAATTGGTGATCGAAGGCACACACGAATAATATCGCAATTCATTAATGAAGTATCTTTTGGAAAGTATGCACCCACGCTCACTTCTAATACGAGAACTATAAGTCTTGCCCTCTCGAATCCTGTCACTATTATCGACTGCTACACGAATAACATAGATAGATCTGTGTTCTTCAGAGTGGTCCAAGTTTAAATCCATATCATCCAAAAGTAAAGGGAAGCTTTTTGCGCCTTCGGTTACCGGCATCTTCACCGGCACGGTCAGTAGACGGGTAGTCTAACAGTAAGGATGTTACAGATAATTTTTTGAGATTGCTTAATTTATTGAAGTGATGCTGAATATTTCTATTAGATTTATGTTGAATCGTTCGGTAGGTAGAATGGGGTTTGAGTTGTAAATAATGTGCCCAACGAGGAATATAATCTAATTTGGAGATTTTTTGTTTTGTTTTGTGGGCTATTTAAAGACAGACGTCGTACGATGCGTTATACCTTACAGCATTGATTCTCTCCCCCATAATGCCAACATCATCAGCATAAAAATAATCATGTGATTTTGACCATTCATTTCCAACGGCTTTAATTCGCAGTCATCTGACATATTTCGATTGGCCTCACTACAAAGCAGTTGCACGTTCAACGAAGTTTAAAATAGCCATTCAGTTATTAATGTTATTGCTATTATTTTCTTACATCGCCTTTTTTTGTGTTTTATTTTAGTGCTCGTCTGCTGTTGCCGCCAAGCGCACTCGTAAGTGAAGAGCAATAGTAATATAACAGTAGGCCCTGTTACGTAGTTTGAACTTCCATAACTTTGAACACTGCTGAACGGAATTTCGTGATGCCAAGGCTATGCAATGTGGGTCGTGGGGGGTAGAATACAGTTTAGAGAATGTTCCATTTCGTCGTGCTTATATGATTACTTGTTCGTTTATTGTTTCCGCTTTTCTACTTAGAGTCTGAATTTTATGGTTGGACGTACTGGTATTTTCAGTAACCTTTGAGTGGGAGAGAGTTTTTTTTTGCAATTTGGAGTTTGTCGTAACTATTTTAAGAACTACACACCTCTGACCATTCAGGTGCGCATTTCCAGCCACACTACTCAGTCACCCACTCGGGGTTTATTTAAGGCAGGAGGAAGGATACGCGAGAGAAATTTGTCCCTTCAAACGATGTTTGCTACTGAGGAATGGCGTTAAAACTCGTGAGAGGCTCAAGGTCTTCGTGTAATTATAACGTTAGAAACTGAAATGCATTGGGCGTTATGCCATTGAGTTCTAGCCATTAGTTTTAGGTGTACTAACTGACCTTTAAATGTAGGAACTTTTGCTTTTGTAGATTACGTTATAATTTGCCTTTCTTCGCTTGAAGTCTGGGATTTGTTACCAGTCAGATCAATTGCCAGTCTTTACTTTTGCCGTTCTTTTAACTTATTTCTGAGGCAGTAAATGTGATTGTGCCACTGAACCATTTGTATCCGATTTCATCGATACTATTTCTTCAAGATTAATTTTAATATTATTGTCATCCCATGTTTGAGTAGTCTCGTGACGAATTTATTGGATATTTATTGTTTTACGTGTATGTATTATTGTGTCATATTTGATTGGTGAAATTTATCTGAGAAGTATAAATGTCGAAAATGAGAAAGAATTATGCTACACTGTTAAAAAAGTATGTTCCGTTTTGTTCTTGGTGTACTTATCATATTCTTAACGCCACTGCCATAATGAACTTGCAGTATTGTTACAATACGTTTTAATATTTCCTCACCGAAAATATTTATATTTGTTTAAATACCTTCATATTTTACACACTGTATTATTGATTTTGTCTCATTCCTTACAATATTTTGAAGTGTATATTGATGTTGAACTACGTGTTTCGACTAATAACTATTTATCTTCAGGTAGTAGTCTTATTAACTATAAAAATTTGTGATTCCTCGTTGTCGTCAATAAATTACGTCATCAACAATGTCAACAGATATTTGTTTACTCGCCATTGTTGTGTAACAACAATGCCGAGTTCAACACAACAATGCAGAGTAAACAAATAACGCTTCACAGCAAAGAAATCAAAATCTATCAACCCAGTTGCATTATCACTGCTCCAGAAGCAGCAAA